ACCATGGCGGCAAGGTATTCTGTCATGACTTGAGCTAGCCGAATATGAAGGCCTATGTTCATCTGGATGTGAATATTTCGAACAATGTTTATGATTGTCTTTGTCATGGCAGTCGCGTCCATGACGACAAGGGATTCGCTCATCGCTGCAGCTAGCTAAAGATTCAGATTTGTGTTGACGAGGATGTGAATATTTTGAATAATGATGGGGATCATTTTGATCACGGCATTTAGATCCATGTCGACACATAGTTCGTTGATCACTTCTACTTTCACTATCGTATTCTAATTTTTGATATTCAGAATGAAGTTTCCATAACGATTTAGGAGATGATTCATCTAAGTAGAAAAATTAACATTCATTCTGAAATGACAGGACAATCACTTACGTATATTATCACGCGACATTTGTACTTGTTCATCGTGTGAATATTTTTTTTGATGATTTTGAACATTGTTTGATAATTTTTTGATATTTTTTGCTTCACATAAGTTGTCATATTGTCGACGATTGAATGGAGTAAATGAACATGGTGGCTGAAACGAATGCCTTTCTTCACTTATAGGTTTTTCATCATGAAGTCCTAAACTAGAATGATCGCAACGACTCATCGGTATACAATGACGAAAGCTTAGACAGTGATCATTTGATCCACGATTATATTCAACACATTGACGACGATATTTACATAGTGGTACGTGCCGATAAACTTTAAGATGTTCATTATCCATGTTTTCACAACGACCACCATCACAGCAAAATTCAGGATGTTCAAATTGGTTTGTGTGCACTAGATCATTTTCAACTAATTCACATTCACCACCGTACAAACACTTGTAACGATGACTGAACCAAAGCGTATGTTGGCTATCATTTTTCTGTTTACACGGTGTCGTATTATCTGCATACGGGCATAAGGGTGGGTGTGAATATTCACGAGAATGCTGTTCATTTTGCAAGTCATTACAATGTCCTCCATAAAGGCATGGCTCCAAATAACAAATTCTAATATCACTTAATGTTACTTCTTTGATAGTTTTTTGATTTAAAATTCGCCAAGGTCCAATCATCATGTCGACAAGCTTATGTCGTTTTGGTTTCTCCTCTAAATGATCGAGTAATTGTTGAAAAGAAAGAAAGTTTCCAAATGAATTCAGGTACTGGTCTGTACTATGATCGTCAACAATAGCAAAGTAGATATATTTAAAATATTCAGCATATTGTTCAATAACTGATTTAAATATTGCTGCAACGTGCCTTGGTGGACTTCTAAACGCATCACAACCAAGAGCAGATAGAACAAGACTATCATGTTTTTGATGATGTGCAATAGCAAATATATTTTCAATTTTTTTTCGTGTACCAATAGAATATTTTGAAGTGAGCAGATCATTCTCAATTTTCGGATCTCGATAGGCAGCCATTGCAATAGCACATACATCGCACATAGGTGTTTCCATGAAAGCATAGCCAGTATCTTCAGGTTGCCGAAAAACTGTCAATCCTGATGTATAAATTGCCCCAAACTCATCCATTGGATATAGTACATCGCCTTTGGCTAAAGGTTCTAGTTCACAATTTGAGTTACAGTAGAAGCGAGCTGTTGGTTTCCCATCATCTAATTCAAGATCGAGACTTTGAAAATAATTCGAACGCCGAAAAAGTGTCTCTTCTTGAGCTCCATCACCTCGTTTGTAGCCACCAAGACTGTTTGCATTGACCATATTGAGAACAACTGGTCGACAGCCTTGGTTTAATAAACTCTTGTAAACAATCAAGCAATCTTCATTGACTACTTTAACTGATGTCGATGCATAGGGAAACTCTATTGCATGGGACAATGAAGTTGTCTTACCACGTTGCAATTTTGACTTATGATCGTAGAGAATGGTTTTTAATCGATCCGGTTTTAATTTGATTTCTTTTTTGCCGATATGGTAAAAACCTCTTTTTACTACACCAATCGTATTTAACATTACTGTCATTTGTAATAGACGACATTTGTGGTTGCATGATGTCTCATATTTGTCCGAATCTTTTCCATCAATATTACAGCCATTCGATATCCAACGACGATATTGTTCTAAAAATGCTTTTGAATTCCATTTAAATCGAAATATAGGATGTTGAGGATTAGAAATAAATGGCATTATATCTGGCTTATAATTGCACATTTCTGTGTCATACCAATTTTTACCATCAATTTCACTATCTTCAGGATTACTTGAATATGTATAAGCTTCAATACCCAATACATGATCATCAATACGTAAAGCACCTTTAACAATGCATTTCTCATAAACATCTCTATCAGAAAGTTCGATAATTACATGTTCGTTACTGGGCAATGCTTTAACTACAGCTTTAGCAAACATTTCATGATTTTGGATGAGTGATGTCGATATGTCTTTAGGCACGGATCGTACCAAGAGGCGACACGAAAGACTATCCTTCTTCATAAAAACTTGTCCATCTAATAAAATCGAACTATGTAGTGCCCATATACGAGCTCTACCTGATGTTAGTACAACAGCATTGGCACCTTCTTTGTTATACTGAATATATACTGACTTTTTTGACATGTATTTACTAGAGATTTGACTACCAATAGCTTCTTTCAATCGATCCAAATTTGTCGTTCTTGGTAAATCTTCAAAGAAAGAGCAAGTAGCTCGAAAATAGACAGTTGCAGAGCGATTTTTGATTGAGAACTCTCTAACTGATAAAGCTGTGAGTAGTTCACTTAATGAATGTGTCACTATTCGAAAGATGTTTGGAAATTGAACAGATAATAGTTCACATCGTGGTTGGGATTGTACTTTATATAGATCAACCCATTGTCGGCATACGGCATGAGCTGATGGAAGTTCTTTGATATCCTTTTCATCGATGACAATATATGAGATAAGTTCAAGCTCATCAACAAATGATATGGTTGCATTTTGGGATGGTTCAATTATAATTTTCTCGATGGTATTAATTAAATTATTTTTATCTTCATCATCACGCAAATAGATAATGCCGATGCCTAATTGTGTATCACACTTAATATTGAGTACTTTTTGTTTATGTTTAAGTTCTAAACATTGACGAATCATTTTTTCCAGTAATGAATTACTATCGATATTGGTTGGCAAATCAGGTACATAAACAGTAATAGGTTCATCTTGATGCGACTTCCTTGAAGATGGTGGACCTGAAAATCAATGTTTTTGACTAATTGAATTAATGTGCTTTTTCAAGTTTTCTGAAAGAGTCTTTTTCTTAGAGAAACCATTCTACGTTCAAAACAACATAGTTGAGTATAGTTTGTAATCAAGGAAAAGAACAGTTGATCAATACAGTATTGAAATCTAAGGCACTTCTCACCAACATATCAATTTATGTACAATATGATTACAAGAAACCTATTCGAACTCGAGCCATGTTTAAGACGTTTACTTCGAAAAAGTGTACTACAGAGAGAAGTCTTTGAGCAGTGAACAGTACTCGATCCCAGTAAGATCCAGGCACGAAAATTTTTTTTTACTTCGATTCACATGGTGAAGATGAGCTGAATGAACAAAGTCTAGTGTCTGAACGACAGAGAGCAAAAATCTAGAAATTGTCTAGATATGAAGAACAATGTTCCACGAATCGAATCCAAGTACTAAAAGTCAAAAACTCACTTGAAAACTTAAAAATACAATGTAGGTACGGAACTTTCACGAGGTAAATACTTACTTTTAGATGATTTCGTTTGTTTCGCAGCTGTTCCTGTTGTTTGATGATGGCTATCTTCATATGAAGACAAATGTGATCCTTTTTTATCGTCTGATGGAGAAGAAGAACGAAATGAACTTGGTTTTGAAGATTCTTTCGAAGAAACATTCACGTTTGATAGCTTTGTTATGCGTTCACCTGGTTCAGCATCTACTAAGGAGTAAAATTTCAAATTAGAACAACTTGTTAAGTCACGAGTATCACTTTTATTTTTCGATGAAAACGAATATGCTGCAGTTGAATGCACTGCTGGTTTTTCTTCTCCTGATTCATATGGAGGGTGGGTCAGTTCTTGCTTACGACAAGCAGTGCTTGAAACATAATCTGATTGTGATGATGAGGAATGTGATTCTGATTGAAGTCGAATATCGCTTCCTTCATGCGGGTAGTCTCGAGTACCATTGGATGATGTATCGGATGTGAACTTCTTGGCTCCATGTTTATAGCCGTCTACCGGAAATTTACCATCGTCCAAAAGGGAAGAGACAAGCCCTTTCGCTCGCGCTTGCCCGTAGATTGAATCTGAAATAGTAAAAGACAACATTTGAACTAAACTGTCGCTGACAATCACTGATCGTCGCAATCGAGGGTGTGGGTGTGGGTCTTTTCTTCAACAACACCAACATTCCGAAGCATTTGAAGACTTTTCAATCTATCATTTCTAGCAGACTAATCGAAATACATGCACCTGATTACACAGCATGATAAATAATACTCGTTTTAGCTTATCTTCAAATGTTGCACTTGAATTCATTACTTACGAAACATATGAGATATGAGTCACTCATATGTAGTGTAGAGCGCTTTCTCGCAATCATGAATTTTTATTTGAAGAATTTCATTTCTATTCGCGTCATGGACTAAGCAACAAAAGCCCATCATAAAAAGTATTGATTTCACTAATGAACACAAACAAGATGCCTTCTCAAAGAGAAGAATATACTCTTCGAATATTATAATGAGCCACATGTAGTCAAAAATCTAGTGTGCAAAATGGCACATATGTTCTCTCATTCCTACAGTTAACTATCAACCAATGAAGCATCAATCCCTTCTCTGACTGCATTATCATCTCACATCTATCTCATTCGATCAAAACAGAACAAGAATAGAAGTGAATTACCTTCAACTTCAATACATTCTTCAATCATTTCGATTAACTCAGAGCTATTCGGTCGATCGTTTGGATTTTTTAACCAACATTGTTCGATCACCATACGAAATGTCGGCGGCGTACTCATGGGTATCTCTAAACGATCGCCATGAAGAACAAATGCACGAATAACATCATTTTCGTAACCAGAATAAGGTCTCTTACATGCAGCTAGCTCCCAGTAAACCATGCCCAAACTGTAAATATCACTCTTATCTGTGTGAGGTTTTATACACAGAATTTCAGGTGCAGTCCATGGCAATGTCATTACCAATGGAGAATTGTATTTGGTTTGACGTGTTGTTTCTTCTCGTGTTCGAGCTACACCAAAGTCACACACTTTTACACAGTAACCTTCATAGATTCTTTCTAACAAGAAGTTCAGTGATTTTATATCTCGATGTAGGATGGGCTCCGGTAATTTATGTAAGTAGTTAATTCCATTGGCTGCTTGCAAAGCAATCGTTAATCGTTCAGTCCATGTTAATGGAAGTTTATCCTCGTGCACTATCTTGTACAACGATCCAAGCGACATGTATTCCATCACCAAGGCGTAATTTCCTGCTTCCATGCATACACCATAGAAACTGACGATGTATGGACAACGAAGACTGTACAATAATGAAACCTCTTTTGAAAATTCCCTTGTGGCATTATCAGTTAAATTAGTAAGATGTAATTTTTTGACAGCAACTAAATAACGTCTGCTCAACCATGTAGCTTTATTAACTGTCCCAAAGGCTCCGCGACCAATTTCCTCATGAAGTTCAAGATCTTTGTCAGATATCAGTAAAATACCAGTGGGCTTTTCTAAATTGTAAAAGTGTATTTTATCATATAAGTTGATGATGCTAATAGCTTAGTTCATAATTGAAAGCTATTTTCCTACTAAAACTAGTGTATAATCAAGTATGATATCGAAAATGAAAAGAACGTTTTTGACAAATATAGAAAATTGTAAGCTGTCTGCTCTTTCGTTTTGGTACGTTAGTTATCTTATTAGTTCTTTGAAAGGTTCATGGTTCTATATTGATCTTAAGAATATGTACTACTTTGAAATTTAACCAAATTAACTAGTCTAAGTAAGAGAATCGCAGCGCAGTCAGTTCCTTTACATGAACTCATTGAATCGTATTCTCTATTGAACACACGCACTCCTATTTCAAAAAGACTACACGTGCTATGATTTCCTACGCTCTACTGAACAATTACTTTCAGCAGAATTACTTCCATTCATTTTTGCTTCTGGCTCAGTACTAACACTATTGTTAGTAGATCCAAGAGGTTGCTTAAGAGTATGTTTATTTTACGAAATCGGTCTAACTTGCTTGTTCAACTATGAAGTGCATAGAGATCTAAACTTCTATTTAGTAACGAAAACTCATGGAAACAACACATTTCCTTGTTGCAATCGCAACTGTTAAGAAAAACGAGTAACAATAGTGGGATACTACGAATTCAACAAGTACTTGTATAGCTAATCTTTTACTTGATTCTATGTTCATCTGAATCAACCATGGTAACAGAATAGTCTTTCTATTAAATATATTCGATTTCGAAATACAACGGTTTCGAACGATGCCCATTTATTAGGAGTCTTTTTTCAGAAGTTTCTTCTTGTATTTCATAGACACAAGAAATATGAACTGAAGACACATCAGCTCAAACCGGAATTCAATAGATTCAAGTCATAGATGAGGACCTCATCCAATATAATAACTCTTTAGGTCACTTGGTACTGCGGATCATGGTAGTAGTGACAACACCTGATAGCATTCCGAATAGGTTAAGCCCATTTTATCGATCCTATTGGTACCCTTATATTTGTTTTCTATTTTGTCTTGTAGTCGTAGAGACATGTAGAAGTTTAATGGAAAAAATGTGCTAGGCATTATTTTGCAAATAAAGATTATGCATTTTACCTGAAAAATCATTACAATCTCTGATTTTTTCTTGAGCACCAGAAGCTGAAGTACAGAATAAATATGCATACCACATCTACTAGGCACCTCTCTGAATGAAACGTTGTTGCTAGATGTTATTGCACAGAAAATTCGTTTCAATTAATCTTTCATTGAACACATGAATATAAACTAGCAATTCATTTCGAATTTTCTTACAATTCCTCTGAATATGCTGTAAATATTTCTTTTCGGCTCGAATATCTAAATGCAATGTCTTGTTGCTTTTCTCGTAGCCCAAAACTGAATCAAATATCTCAGCTCTTTGCGATACCTGAGACTTCAGGTCAACTGAGTAATATTCCTAATAAGTCAACGAAATGAGTCCTCACATACATTACTTACTTCGTGTTTGATCATATAAGTATATATCCCTCTCTAGTAATCCATCACTCAGAAAAGGAATCTGTTTTGATTTCGATTCTTTCATAACTTCTCGTCTTACATCACGTAGTACCATTTGGATATCTTCATTTGGAGTTTTAATGTGCTGCAAAAGATGTTTTGTAAATAGACCATTCTCTTGCCCGTTCCCGTCAATGGCTATGCTCCCAGGAGCACAAGCAAAAGCGATCAATGAATTAGCCATGTGCATTGGCTTGAAAGCAGCAGATCTGAAATCATTAGAATCCGAATTGCATGCATCTACATCGATATCACACTTGTGATATAGCCTACAGCAATCCAATAGAAAGATTGTTACAAATGGATTTCGATCACCTAAATCATAGAGGACATTTTGTGCATTAATCGCAATTCCTTTCAGATTGACATTATCTATGTTGGGAATATCTATGGGTAATAAATAATTTTGATCCTGAAATATCATGCATGAAACTCACATTAAAGATCAAACAGTCTTAATATTTAAAATCTGTATACTTACTTCCCACTGCTTCCCATGTCCAGCAAAATAAAATAAGACCATATCATCTGGCTGAATTGAATCTGTGAACTCCGAAAGAGTACGTGTCATCTCAGTAAAGTTTTGATTTAATTCCACTGTGACAATAAAGCCAATCTTCTTCAGCTTAGATGACATGCTATTGGCGTCATTTTCTGGATTAGACAATTGTTCGAGATTTTCATATTTGCCAATTCCAATTACAAGCGCTAACTTGCGTTTTCTTTTACTTGAAGCACCACTTGGATTTTTAGCCATAGTGAATAGTGAACTCAATCTACAAAATGTATAAAGTTTGAGTAGAAATCTTTAGATAGAGAAGGCACACGCCGCAATCGAACACTCTATATTCAAAACGCATACATAAGCCCGATAGAATGTACCTAGTTAGTCATTCGCTTAAACTGAATTTATCGTACAATATATTCATCGTTGTAACTACTTGAAAATACGTATGTAAAGTTGAAGTGTGGATGAGTTGGTGTCGCTGTGAGCAAAGACGCGATTTGATCTGACACCCACACTTAGCTCGATAGCATGTCTATGGTCACGATTTGAGGACATGTTGTGATTTATAAGGGACCTATGAAATCGTACTGTAATGCGAATAGAAGCAATGCAGTCTGTTCTGTTTGTAAAAGAAAATTGTTTCTTACCGGTGAATAGCTTGCAAAAGTTGCAATAATGTGTGTACTTTGTCTGAGCACGTTGTTTTTATAGAGTAAGCGACGAGCAAATTGTTTTTCGCTCTCAAGTACGTCGAAAAGTCTCCGTTTGCATTTTTCTTGGATGTCTTGAACGAAGAAACGCAAAGAAAGCAACCATTGAAGTTGTCATAAGGGTGTGGGTGTGGGTGTGGATGTGGGATGTAGGTGCGGGGGTAGGTATGGGGTGTTCGCGGATGTGGAAGTGTGGATGACGAAAACATTCAGCTACATATCCATACCCACCCATACCAATATAAAACCCCCGCCCCACCCACACTCACACTCACACTCATGTCCTTAATCATATTTAGCTCATAAATAACATTTCGAAAAAAATTAAAATATCTCCACTATGGTTTATTCAAATGTTTTTTTGTGTCATACAAAGAATCGAAACAAATACTACTGTTGTTGATCTAACTAACAGAGTTCTATTTAAATATTGAAATTCATAATTGATAACTAAAATGCACAATCGAATCCTTTTACGTAATAAATCGTCAACTTTTTTTCAAAAAATCAATGTTCTATGCTCGAAATATTGAAATCGTAGGTTTGTAAATTAACCAATTCTTAGCATTGTTTCAATGTGCGTCAAGTTAATATCATGCAATAAGTTTGTTTTGATTTCTTCTTTTTATTGTCTTTGATGACAATAAATCGAATTTCTTTATTGAGCTCAGCAACAATAATATTTGTTTCACATTGTGCGTGTGAGAAAGAAACCTTGAATAGAATTATATCACTAACCAAAAACTTAGTCTATTTGAATGGACTGAAGCAGAGAGATTTCAATTGTTATTGCAGTCTTATTAATGACCTATCTTATACGTAGGTATCTATTTTCTAGTTACTACATTGTTCTTTATTCATATTATGGATTGCACTGATTCTTTGAGTTTATGACATAGAAATTTTTATAATATCTAGAGTGCATTGCAAGTTATAAATCATGTACCATGCTTTCTTTGTCTTGTACAGGGTGTTCCAAAAGTCGGTTGATAGCCGACTTGTTACTGAGTAGACTTCAGAAAAATACTGATAGATCTATGACGATCGCACACAAGATTAATGATAAAAAATATACTGGATTCTTGTGATCACAACCTTTATCTATAAGTATCCAACAGATCAGGATAAAAATTCCAGATCTGAATATAGATTGTGACCACACGGATCTAGTCCATTGCATTGAATTTGAACTTCTGCATGGGTTCACCAACACTTACACGCACAGATGCATTTTCTCACAGAGCATCACCGTACCAATACTTAAGTGTAGTATGGCCACCATCCACCACATTCAACTTGTTTACCACTGAGTCAGCATCCTATCTGACGATGTTGAACATTAGTACAATCAAGCGAGAGAGAAAATTGATTGCCATAAATCGTTTATTGTATTCAACGTTTCACGATTTCTCGATTTATGAGCTCTTTCTCCTATAAAACTATTAAATATGAAAATCAATACATTTTTTATTGGAAGAAAACATTGAATTGCGTGAAAGAAAAAAAATACGTTGAGAGTAGCTGCATTAAGTCAAGATAAAGCGACCAATCAAATTGACTCTTTTGACTCATAAGACAATATTGAACAGTTTATTGTTTTTCCATT